TGAATTCTGATTTTTATGAAGTACATTTTTAAGGGTGAAAATATGATTGGGGTACATTAGATGGTACAGTGAAGTTCAACATTGTTAAAGGGTCAATATTAGGGTTTACAATACTAGTTATGCGATTTACACACCAGACAACTTCATCACCTACCTTGATATTTCATCAAAAATTGAATATGACGATACTATTAATTTTCTATTAGAAAACAGTAGTTGACATCAAACACTACCATACCCAAAATATGTTGAACTAGTTTATTTATTTATTTTTCAGTGAAAATTTTATACTTAATGTGGAAGATTTTTATTTTTATTTTAAACTTTTCAACTATTATTTGTATGATTAAAAAGTATCCTTTAAATCCAACTTATGAAGACTAATTCACAATCTATTCACAAATTTAAAAAATACAAAAATAAAATGTTCAAATTAAATACGAAGTAAGTTTTCACATTTATATAAACATACAATAAAAAGACAAATAAACGAACATTTTGGCCAAAATCATTTAATGATATAAAATTCATATTAATTTATTTTCTAATTTTTGTGTAAGATTTTAATGCAAGAAGAGTAAACTGAAAATTATAAATATCATAGCTCGTACAAAAGTCTCTTCAAATGTAGTTCTCTATTTGAAGAGCTAGTATTGTTGTAAATAATACAATATTATTTCAATATTTATTTTTTATTTTTATATATAATTCTATATAAATATTTATTTTTATTTTTATTTCAACACACATTGCAACATTTAATTTTATTATAATTCTTTTGAAATTTTATTATATTCTTTTTTAGGCTTCAAATAAATCTTCAATTAAATCACATTTAACTTTTATTTATGTATTTTTAACAATTTCCCTTCTATTAACAAAATTATGCATACTTATATTAAATTTTAGCATATTGTATTTAAATTATTGTGCATATGTTATCAAAAAATGGATTTATTTTGTTAAGTTACATTTATTATAGAAAATAATACTTATGAAAATTCTTCTAGCTCCATCACCAAAGTTCTTAAATATGATAATAGTTTTACTTCAAGTCATTCAAATTACATTTTTTTTTTATTTAAATTTTATTTTGAATTTTAAAAGTTCAGTATAGAACCAATTTATAAATTAAAACATCTTAACATATATATATATATCCAAAAATTAGATTTATTAAAAAAATATGAGTTGTTCTTTGCAGGATTTACTGTATTTATGATTATATAATAATAGTTAAAATAATAATAAATAAGTAAACACAAAAAAATTCAGTGAATTTTGTATTGATAATTTTTAATATATGTATGTATGTATATAGGTAGATACTGGATTTTTGACTTCCTATTATTTTTGCACACATAAAGAATAATAGGAAGCCAAAAATAGGAATAAAGATAATCTAAACCTTGGTTTTGAGTCTAATGAAGCTTATTGAAGACCACAAGTCTTACAAGACAAGTTCCTAAGTTATGGGATGCTTTTGTGGTGGCTTCTTAGATGTAGAAATCAAGAATACTTGAAAATCAAGGATATTGTTGAAATATTTTTAAAAAATCTTTAAGATATTTTTGTAATAAAATTGTGTTTTATAGATTCTTAAAGCACAAAAAAACAAGAAGAAATCTTAAACTTCTTGGCTATTATTGATTAGTATTGCTAAATGTTTTGGGTTATAATAAATAATTAGTGACCATTGACTTGGTACCATTTTATAGTTACAATTCAACAATAAAAAAAATAAAAAAATAAAATCGTGAAGACCTTGATGATCTTAAAGGATTTTTGATACTTTCTCTTAGAAGTTTTAAATAGAAATAACATGCATATGTATATATTTATATTTATACATATATTTTTTTAGAAAAAAATGCTATAATGTTGAAAAATGTGACATAAAGACATAACCAAGTAATCTTACAAAGACTTTCAAGAATAAATGTGTAATTTTTTAACCTTGCCAACAAGTGCATTTGGACTTCAAAGAAACTGATGTCATTGTGAACCTCATTGGCCCAATTAGAATCATAAAATAAACTAGCCAATTTTTCTAAAACAAATTGTTTGAAAAACAGATAATAACTTTTCCCACAAACAGAAATTCTATCCACTTTGAATAGAATATAAATGATTCACCAATTTATTCCCAGAACATACGCTAAAAGATCTTGTGTGGACTTTTAATAATAGGCAACTAAAACTTATCGCTAGACCATATCACACGAACAATTACACCCAAGAGCAGGAAAATATTCTTATCCTAGCATCTACAAACTTATCCCTTGACCTAATCAGTTTAACAAAGTTTTGTCTTGTATTTTGACCCAATCAACCAATCAAAAAAATCAATCAGTCAATCAATATAAGAAGTAGATTCCACATGGCCTTCCCTTCAAGGTTGGGAAATGAATCTTCTCTAAGTATTTTGGATCTAAAGTCAGTTATAATCATGTACAATGAGACCACTTGGAAGATGAGCTTTCTCTATTCTAGAACTGTTCTAGAGGAGATGGGGCTCATTTATACACAGAAAACTTTGAATACCCAATAGTTCAAAATTGTCTATTCATCAAATGGTGTATAAAGCCAGTGGGGTCCTCTGTTTGGGTAGTTATGTTATTTAAGTCCCATTGTATGGTTTTGCATGAACACAGGAAAACATTGTCCTTAGATTTTATGTTGGGGTCTCATGGTTTGAGTACAATGGGAAGTGTGTGTGTATATATATATATATATATATATAACTGTTTTGTTATGTTTTAGTTGTTGCAATAAGGCTGCTTAACAATGAATGATAATGAAAAGTAGTGACAAATTCCATTTGCTCAATAATGTTTGATGGAGGACATTTTTGTCAAAAGGACTTGTTTGGATGTTTGTTGATAAATGTGCTTTTGAGAGATATAGTGGATCTATTGTGATTGTCTAATATATGTATGTATATATATATATATATATACATATATGTTTGAATATGTTTTTGGCTATACTCAATATACTTATGAAGAAACATAAGTTGAAACTTCTACAACTAAGTAGATGTCTAAATTCAATAAATTAGTATAATTTGAAGAATATAACATAAAATATCTGAATATTTTTATAAGAAATATTTATATATGGCAGATAATTGTATTTTTCCAATGAAACATCAATAAGGATTTTGGATTTCTACCAATGACTTCGTTTTTAAATGTTTTATCACTTTGTGTTATAATACCTTGTCTAAATATATTTTTAAAATCTTATAGAATAAAATAGGTTAAAATTAAATGAAGGATATTATTAATTTATTATTAATATTATCTAATAATTTATTAATTTATTATAATATTTTATTAAAGAAGTTGCAAAATAAAGATGTGATTTTTAACAGATTCAATTAATAGGTCTAAAACTATATCATAAGGATTAGAATAGTTTTTGTTCTATATTACTTCAAAACTTGTGCTTTAATACTAATATCATTTATTTTAAAAGTAAAAACTTAGATTGATTTAATATCCATGTTAAATTTAAGTTGTAAGATATAAATCCATTCTACATAGTTGATAGTATATATTTTTAGTATTTTTAAAATTCATTTCTTTAGTGTAATTTTTTTATAATTAAATTATGATTTTTTAATCTAAAATTTAACATTAAAAATAACCTTTGATTATATATAATGGATAAAAATTAAAACTTACAATGAATCAATTTGTTTATATGATTTTCCAATCCGAAATTACTTATTCATCAAAATTGGTTCCAATTCTATATCTTAAAAAACAGATTAAGAAATAGATTAAGAAGTAAGCTAACTAACTATATAATATTACATTAAAATCTATATGAGTGCAACATGTGGTTGGTTTAACAACAATATACAAAAGTCATGGTTGAATAAAAGGTGGATGAACATGAGCAGTGAAGAGGTAACAAAGAGTGGTTTGCTAAGAACAACACACTACATATGATTGCTTTCACAGAAATACCAGAGAATTAGGCAAGTTAGGATTCTTGACAAAACCAAGCTCTCAAAATGAGAACTGTGAATGGACAAGAGGATCACATACTTCCCAAAATACTAAATTTTTGACACATAGAGGTAACATGTCGTGCATCACTCTGATGGCTACGACGACTACTACTAGTAGTAAATGAAGCGTGGGAAAAGGGGGGGGGTTGTTGCAAGTGAAGCGGTGATTCTACAGAGGAGGCGACATAGTTGCAGCAGGGCAAAAGGCGGCTGGGAAACGAGGGCTGCATGGAGCGTTGCAGCAGCGTCGCTCATGCGTGGGCTGCTCCGCGGACAGCACCGGAATGCGACGGTGAGTGAGTTACTGAAGGGTACCAGTCAATCAAGGTTGCGGCTGAGGAAACGTGGTGCTTTTACCAAGGCCGCCGCGAAGAAACGTGGTGCTTTTACCAAGGCCGCCGCGAAGAAGAGGGCACGCCCGTCTACCGCGGATGGACAAGTCTGGCTTCGTCTGGTGAGTTGCGTTGCGTATCAATCAGATAGGCCTCATGAATGAGCATGGGTCCCCATGGTTGTGGGCCCTGCTCTACTCTGCTATGCTTTGCTCTCGTCACTTCACCCCGACTGGGGTTTTCATCCAGGTTCAATAAGTGGACAGTGGAACTGAGTCCCCATCCTATTCTCTATCTGCTCTTGTGACCAATCCCACTGTGAATGTAACCCTTCCATTTCCCGTCTGTCACTCCCTGTTACATCTCCTCCACTTTGCAGTGTCCTTGGTCTCCTTCCCTGCACTGTTCCAGGTCGCCAGCCATGGTCTACTGACTGGTATGCAGCTTCTGCTGCAATGGTAATTCTTTAGTTGGCCGGTCGTTGCTATTAGAGAACACTTACCGATTCCAACTCGCTTTTTGAGTGGAAGCCCCTTCACAGAACCCTAGAGGCCTCGCGTAGACCTTGTTTTTGCCTTGTGTGGGAGGGCTACTTCTCTTTCTAGGAACAGTGCCAAATCAATGGGCTACTTAATACCTTGATTGTTATTCACTCCAACAGGAACTTGGGTTGAACTGCTCTGAGTGTGTGTTGTTTGTGAGCGAGTCGCCGAGCTGGGGTTTCAGGGTTTGCGCTGCTGGGTCTCATGCATTTTGTGCCTATTATCTCGAGATTTCACTTGCGCTGCCTGAGTTCTCATCTTTGAGAAGGCCTCTCCTTTTTAATGCTATCTCTGCGGAGTGTTTTTGTTTTTCTTTTCACTTCAGTTTTCGTCCGTTTTCTCATATCTTTAATTGGAAAACGGGCAAGATTGGAAGTTCGGTAGCTTTCCGTGGCTTAATTGATTTTATGGTGTTAAGGAGGGTCCAGTGCATCAAATTGTATCCACACGCTCGGAATGTTCTATTGAGAGAACGTAATCCAGATTGAGAATAATACTTCACAAGCATCAGTCTTTATCACTTGGCCACTGCACCTGAATAGCCAAAGCTTAGTTCTTGCGACACCATAATCGAGCGTTAAGCGCACTCGAACACAAGCATCCGCCGATGAAGAGTGAACACAACCAAATCACAACGAATAGCATGCAAATTTACTAGGTGGCACCGACGAAAATTAATTTGCCTTCTATGGACTGGTGCGTCCTGAGTCAAGCTAGAGAGGAAATAAAGACAAAAACCGTAATGACTTGTCGTTGGCAGACGAGACACCCAGGGCAATGCTACAGCAAGAGCATGCTCTCTTAGCTGCGGTTTCTTGCGCCGAGAGTTAGTGTACACGTTTGTTTGCTTCGTCTTGGATTAGTGGGGTCAGAGTGCTCAGCAATCAACAAAGGTGGTCAGTCATAGCTGTGATGATGCTCTCAAAGGGGTGGTGCCAGGTAAACCTCGAAATCATGGTTGGCAATTAATTTTCTCCTCTTTTAGCACCCCTTCCACCTTCTGGGTGATTCGTTGAAGCATGTGATATTGGGGTCACAAAGTTTACATAGCTGCAGGAATCCAATGAATGCTAATATCAGCACTTGTGCTGAGTACCTGAAACCCAGCTGGATACATGTCAAACCATATGAGTAATCAAAGTTTCACGTCTGTCAATCGGGGGGAGACTAGTCCATCAAGTGGGCGCAGGGTTCCCATGTGGGATTGTTGCAATTCTTACACGAAATCAATTTGATCAGATAGGTGGTGATTACTCATAGTCTGTATCTGTGTTTACTAATGTCATCCTGTTGTAATAGATCATGCTTTGCTTTGATTTGTTTAGATATATCCAAAACGTTTATCTTAATGTAGATGCACAAGGCAGATTGTAGCTTTTTCCTCTCGGAGGTGGAAGGATGGCGAATTCTAAATTGATTTTTAATCGATTGCAGGAACATGCGATAGCACCAGCTTCCAATCGCGTTTTGGATGGGTCAATATTGGCGACTTCTCTGGCCGCCATAATTTCGAGGAATGTTGCTGAGGAGATTCAACCCCTCAGCGTAGAGGAGGTACTACCAACACAAGTCTGCGCTCCCGAGCTTCAGATGTCTGTCTCCAGGCTTTTTTAGTGACTGAATGAGCCTGAAAGACGACGCGGTTGATTGATTGATTGATTAATTATAAGTTTAATTGTGGTGCAGGCATTGCCCATTCATGTTCTGTCGGACATCATCAACAAGGTGAAGGATGCACGGGACCTTGCGAATTGCAGGGCAACGAGTAAAACTATGAAAGAAGTTGTGCGGGAAGTTCGCTGTCTCAACCTTGTATGCCTCAAACGGTACTACGAGCTTGCTCGGAAACGTTATCCTGTGAGACCCCAATGTTCATACTCTGACACAGAGGATGAAGATGACATGATAGAGTCTGATTCTGACGAGAGTGAGGAGGATGAAGATGATGACGATTGCTGTGAGATGTCTCAAGTGAATTCAAACCGTGGGTATCAGAATGGTTGCTGCGCGAATTCATCCTCGTTTTCGAACTCCTCCCTCCAACACACCGATAATGTTTCATTCAAGAACGCATGTCTGAAAATGCTCCGGTGTGTGGGCAAGGTTGAGCAGCTCCGAATTGAAGTCGACCAGGAAATGCAAGACAATCCGCTTCTCAAGGAGGAGATCCACATGGTTGACTTTTGGTTGAGCGAGCCCATGTTTGTGCGTAAGTGGGTATACTCGTGCGGCCACTCACTCCAGCATTTGACGGTCATTGATTACGGCCAGCAAGCGATCATGCGACAGTCTCCCATCCTCAGAATACTATCCGAGCAGTGTAATCCTCTCTCTCCTTCCTCTTTATTTCGAGGTGTGTGAGTCTTGAACAAGGTTTAAGTTCAACCATTGCTTTCAAAAGCCGATTGCTCATTCTTTCAAGTCGTAAATTGCAACAGGCAAGCAGTTAGTATCTCTGGAGTTGCGCAACATGTACCTCGACACGAGCGACCTCGAAGTAATGCCCAAGATGAAAAGCCTCACCCTCCGGTGTATCAAAATGACCGAGCGATCGCTCACGGAGATTAATGCATGCATGCCCGAACTTGTAATACTAGCGCTCGTGAGCGTCTTTGGCGTCCAAGACGCCCACTTCTCATCTAATAAACTTGAGGTCCTGTGCTTGGGCCTATCCACTAGCGCCAAGGTCGTCGACCTCCATCTACCCATCGTCAAGAAGCTCCAGATTAAAATGGTATGCCCGGACGTCCTCCGCGTGCATGCTCCCAAACTCACCTACGTTGCGGTGTGCATGGAGAATCGCGACGGATCCATCGTTGAGTTCGACGACGTCACGAACCTCAAGGAACTTCTTTTTGGTGCCAGCCACTTCTCCACTCTCTCCAGGCTCATTCGTACCAATTCCGTGCTTGAGAAGGTCTTCCTGGACGTCCCTTGTATGGCTCTCGGAGGGGATGGCAAGTGGGAGGGTGTCATTCCTCAGGTTCCTCTCCAAATCCCGGACATCGAATCCCTCAAAGAACTATGCCCCTTCCTGCACACTCTCAGTGTTGGTCCAGGTCTTTGGCACTCCATGGAGCAATCCTTAGCTACCAACCAGGAGCTCACCACATTTCGTACGTGGCCTGCCCTCTCAAGACTCATTGTGCACATGGTCGCTCTCAGCTTAGAGAGTTGCGTCGCTCTCCTGTTACGGCTCGTCAGCACCGTTCCTTCGCTGCAGCGGCTGGAAATTTATGTGCACTTGGACAGCCCAGTCAAGCCCGATCAGCTGAGGTCGACCTGCCAGGAGCATCTCGCGCACACGAACTTGCAATGGGGGACGTGGAGGAGGAGCTTGAATTTTGCATGCTTTAGCTTTTGATGATTCGGAGGGTCACCAGGATTACTGCCGTTAAAATTACTTTGGTGTTCTTGTGATTGCGTCCACACATCTTGTATTATTTCGACTTTGTAACAAGGATTTAAAGGGTTCATTTCGGTGCTTCTTGTTGGATGGTTGTACAGTGTGCATCTGTGAATACCTGCAAACGCCGAAGCTGCCCGTTTTCGTCTAGCAAATTTTCTCAGAACCATTGTCGCATTGCTGATTTCGTTTAGATTTGATATCCCCAATATTTTATTGGATCTCACAGTAGGGCACTGGATTTTCTCGAATTATAAAAAAGAAGGAACCTCAATTCCAACATTCATGAACTTAAAACAATAACATCACTCACACCGCGTGAAATTCACGGTGAGGAATTTCAGACCGTGATTCAGTTGCATCCCACTCATCGAAACATGCACCACCTCAATCCCCACACAAAACCCTTCCAGCACAACACACTCCCAGAGGTCGAGGGATTCATCCCAATTCGAGACACAACGCGCAGGAGCAAGCCGCAGCTTCACGTGTGAAAACCGCAGCCTTGAAAACCTCCCAAACCCATGCACAACGACGCATGTGGATAAGACACAACAGAGGCTAGCAGAACAACTTTGCGGTTTCAAGGAGAATCATCGAACACTGAGCACAGAACCACCTATCGAATATATATATATATATATACATTGAAAATCTGTGCACACAAGATGATGCATTGAAACTTCTCGCATGCCAATCTCTTTCCGCTTGCTGATGCAGAGAGGAAACGGGGAACTGATCCCTCCCTCCCCTGTCCCTTGTTGATGGGCTTGAGTCCCGACAAGGTCACTGTTTGGGAGGCCGCATGTGGACATTACATGGATGCCGTGACCAAGTAGATCCTCTTGTGCTGCTGCTGCTGCAACAGAAGCGTAAAATCGCCGATTTATGCAAACATGGGGTGGGTGGGTGGACAGCATCATCGCACCAATTCAGAAAGATTCCGAAAGATAAACTCCACCACAGCTTGCTGCCCCTCGAAAGTGGGTGCACACTGCCTTCGTCGCAACTGCTGCCGTTGACTCCTTTTCAAATGTGGAGGTTAGCAACATGTTGCTTCCTTCATTGGTGAGGAAAACAGTAGTATGTATGTATATATAGAAACTAGTATGTATGTATATGTAAAAGCTGGTGCTGTTGACCACCTCAATTTTTGGCACTGCCATCCATTTTCATTTTGACTCATGTTGATTCATGTTTAGCCAATGAGAAGGCTTCATTATGTCTTTATCTTATATTTAAGTTGCTGTATCTAATATCTATCTATATTATATTTAAAATTTTATTTTATTTAAGAAGTATTAATTTTTTATACATGTTTAATCAAAATGTTTAAAAAATCAAATAAACTCATGTAGTTATTTACTTTTAGTTTATTGACAAAAGACATAGTATTGATTTATATTTTTAATGATTTTAATTTTAATTTTTTTTAAAAAAAATCTATAATTTTTCTATAATATTCATATATATATATATATATATATATATATAATTTTTTTCTAATAAATACTCTAGCTTTTGCAAATATTTTATTGTCTATTCTAATGCTACAATTTAATGTTCATTTTGTCTTTTGTGCTTATTTAGTGATTTGAATCTTAGAGGTCCTATATTTGACATTTAAAATAAATCTTATTTTTAAATTATATGTAATATATATATATATATATATATATATATATATATTGCTAATGATGATTATATAAATTTAAATATAGAAGTAAAAAAGAACAAACAATTGTACAACAATAGATTTATTTTGGTATTCAAGTTTCAAAAGCCTACATCTATAATGTCTCCTACATTAATTGAAACTATTTAATTTATATTATGTGTATTGCTTTTTTTAATAAATTTTTTAAAAGACCAATAGATAAAAGTTTAGTCAATAACAGACATTGTGACTTACATGAAACATTTATCACATTTGTTTAAACCACTTTAAGTGGAATTGGTTAGATGTTTTTTATAAAAAAATTATCATCTATTTTTTTTATTAGCTCTCTCTCTCTATCTCTCTCTCTCTCTCTCTCTCTCTATACATATATATATATATATATATATATATATATTTATAATAAAAAATTTAGAGATATTATTTAAAACTTTATGACTACTTAATAACAAATAAAACAAAATATAAACTTAGATTACAAAACCTTGTACTAATAAAACAAAACTACAAGTTTTGTTACAAATTTTAAATGGCGAAATTCTACTAAAATTTTAGAGGTAACACAATTCTAATTTCTTGGACGATCTTATTTATGTTTTAAAATAAATTTACTATATTTTTTAAATTATTATTTTTTTTCTTTTCTTGGATTCTTTTCTATTCTTTTCAAATATTACACACTTATTAAAAAATTTATCAAATTCTTACATAATCATTCTTGATTTTGAAATTTCGAATTTAATTATTATAAAATACTAATTAATAATAATTTTTAAAATTTTTATTATTAATATATAAAAAATACCAGTTACAAAAAATCATATGAGTTATTACTTTTAGGAAATAGCATGTATTTTTCTTTGTTCAAAATTTTTAAAAATTTAAAGATTTTAGATTAGATATCTTTAGTATGATATTTTATTTGTTTCATCTAAATTCTTAAATTTAACTTATCAAAATAAGAATATTAAAAAATTCATATATATATATATGAAAAAAATTGTAACATAAAATTGAATTAATTTTTAAAAATTTTATGTAATAAAATTCTAATTTCAAAGACTATTGTGACATCTTACAAAATATCTATTACATATATAAAAATACATATTTTACAATAAAAAAGAATTAAATAGAGATCTTTGTCTTACAATTTATTAAGATGATATGCTTTAAACTACAACAAGTAATAAAATAACTCACAATCTTGTAAAAAATCTATTCTAACTTAATGTCTTAAGTTATAAATATTCTTAACAACTTACAACTTTCTACCAATTAATCTAAGGATTATAATACAAGACATTTTTATTATTGATCTGCTACAAATTATGTATTTTTATATTTTTAATACCCAAAAGAATATAAGTCTCCTTCATTACTTTAGGATTTATGTTGTCTTCTTTTTATACTTATTTTTTTATTTAAAGATAAGTTAACAATATAGGATTCAAGTGAATATTAAAAAAAATCATTAAAATAAATATATGGTGGTTTTTGAGTTACTATTTTTCACAATATTGCTTTTTCTATTTCAAAGTGCAATCTATACAAATTGCATGTAACTTGATTGAAGTTTAAATAAGCAAACCTAGATTTTTTTTAATTGTAGTATAATATAACGAACATTATATTAAATATTTATGTAGTGTTTATTTCACCAAAAATATTTGTAAAATTACCGTTTTTCTTGTTTCTTTTTTTTACTCGACTTTTATCATAACAAACATTATAGAATACTTTGATTAGTTTTCATATTAAACACATTACATGGTGTCTTAAAGAAATAGATCTCAAATAAAAATTTAAATTGAATTCTACTTGTACACTTCTTTTTGTTGTTTAGATGTTTGTTTTTTTTTTTTAATTTTTTTTCTATTATTTTATTTTTTTATGAAACATTATTTGATATCTTATGCTAAGTAACATTTATTTTTTATTTTTTATAATAATATAAAAGAGCTCAATTAAATAGACATAGTGTGCTTTAAAATATAATTTACAAAATACTATCTATGCAAATATAAAGTATATAAATATTTTTTTATATTTTATATTATATATATTATATTTAAAAATCAGAATTAATATCAAATAAAAACATCTAAGTAATTATTTATAATTTTTATTTTATTTTAGTAATTATATCATCAAGAAAAGTGTAATAAAATGATATATATATATATATATATATATATATATATATATTGGGAAATGATAAAGTGACCCAAATTTTTACTAAATCGACCCACATACCCTATTCCCAGCCGTTCTCCTCTTCCCAACCATCACCCCCATCTCTAACAATGGTTGGGAATGAAGATTGGGAATGGAGAACAGTTGGAAACAAGGATAAGGGCTCCAAGGGTGCAATGATGCTTAAGATAGTGGGTCACTTTAGTAAAAATTTGGATCACTTTATCATTCTCCTATGTATATGTATATATATATATATATATATATATATAAATTTATTTATTTATATTTCTTATCTATTTGTTAATTGGACATCTTTCAACAATTGCAATTCAATTTATTCATTTATATAAAAGATTACTAGCAACTCATCTAAATGTCTCTCGGTAAAATATGTATTGAACATTTATACAATTAAAAAGTTATAAAAAACATAAAAAAACTAAAAATATATTTGGTAATTGAAACTTTATAAATAAATTTTTTGAACTTGAATTTTTTTTAATTGTATTTTTAAAATTTTAAAAAAACTTAAATATAAAATTTCTATTTTATTGGATAAGATATAATCAAATACAAATTTTTATCTAATCTTGAATTCTTTTGCAACATTTTGGTCTATTACATATAAAAGTATTTTTTTTTTCATTTATTAATTAATTTACTTTTGGTTCGTCTAAGAATGAAACTCCATCATCTAAACGACACCTTCTTTGCTCATGGGGTAAAAAATTCACCATCAAGTTTTCTCACTATAACATGAATGTTGACAAGTGGTCATGGGTCTCCACACCCAGAGCTCATCACCATCTCGTCGCAACCGCGGTTAAAGTGACGAGAACAAGCTCCAGGCGGCGAGAGACTCGGCGAGGCTCATGGATTGAAGCTGCTGCGGCTGCTGCATGACGACGGTTCCGATTGCACGATTGCTCCATGGGGCTTTCGAAAGTCACTCTGGACGTGATCCGATTCCACAATTCGAGACTATGCGACACCATTTTGATCCGCACTAGAGGGTCATAGGGTACCTTGCTCGCTGCTGTGAAGGTTCGGTGACCGAAAACTAGATGGGTCTGTCATTTAGGTCTCGCCAGTGTTTAGTTCTGATCCCCCTTTGCAACAGAATATCTCGTTTTATTCAGCCACGCAACTTACAAGTCGGGCAGATGTGGAGTGGGACAGTACTTAGGAAACACATCACAAAAGTGTTAGAGATTTCCACGAAACTTTCGCTGTCGTGACGCTCTCAAGGCTTGTTAATGCTACTGGCCATATTGTGCAGGTCCCATAGGCTCTCTGGAGTGCGCTCTGCGGGCCCTACCGTATACGAAACAGCAAAAACGGGTCATAGTCTGATAGTACAATGTCCACTTCAAATTCTTGCTAATTGCGTGTGTTGTGAATGACGGTACTAATTAGGTCATTTCACCACGCAGGGGAGAAGATAATTCGAATAGTGACCATTTGCTGGATGAAATTCACTGCAAAGAATGCATTCCGTATTCTGCAGTGAGTAGCAGGACTGCCTTTATTTCTTCTGGTCCAACGTCTACATCTTTTGCCTGGCCATTCCAACAAACCTCGCCCACAGTGCATCAGTACAGGGCCTGAACCCAATGAGGCTGGCCATTTCTACGGCGCTTAGTACACACGCGAGCTCTTGTAATTTTGCAAGCGACAGCGTGATTTTTCAGGTTTAGGGTTTGGGGGTTGGTCTGGCACAGCTTACCTCAGCGCGGAAGAGGTCTAGAGCAAAGCCATTGAAGCAGCTGATGACGGCCTGTTGCACATCCAAGCCCAAAGCGTCAAGTGCCCTCACAGTAGAAAGGAGTAATCCTGGCCGACGCGCGCAGAACATATGGATGTTAAGTGCTTGGCCTTCTCGTTTCCTCACCTCCACCTGCGCATGTGGAAACCTCAAATCATACTCAGGAACTAAATCAAGCCTGGAGAATGCAATGCAATGCCATGCATCTTCTTTGACATTTTAACTAGCGCAGGAGAGAATTCTGAGAAAATCTATGTAATGAGAAGCAAACGCATGAAGATGAGGGATGATGAGGTACGCACCCTTGGAGGCTGGGATTCTGGATTCGGCAACACTGGGCATTCCTCTTTAACGGCGGTAGGGTAGCCATGATGAGTGGATCTCGGAGTTGGGCTGGACGGCATGGACCGCGACTGCTCCAACTTTGCTTCTTCCAGCTCGTTGTGAATGTCGTTGATGCGCTGTAGGAGCTCCTTCAGGTACTCAATTGCGTCACCGAGTATGGAGGCTCTGTCCATCTGTTGGCCATACCCACTTTGAATGTGTCACTGGAACCTTATAGAAAATCGTAACCTCTAATGTGTGCAACCATCATACAGCATATAGATAAGATCGAGAGTGAAGGTGCGTTGAACCTTGGTGATTTTGGGAACCACAGAACGAAGCATGTACAGGCGATCGTTGAGTTTTTGGCGGCGTCTGCGCTCGGCCATGAGGTTCTTTGCAGGGAGTCCCCGTTTCCCCTTGGCCTTCGATTTCCCGTTGTTCTGTGTTCCATTGCCTGCGCCTTCTTCCACCTCGTAGGGCCCCCCAGAACCATCGCCACTCTCGTCCAGATCGTCGTCATCCTTCCCATTGTGGTCATCCCCATCTATACCTATGTCGTTTGGATCATCGGATCCTGAGTGCAGCTCCGCTCCTCGGAAATTCTGCACATGAGGGCTATCTTCATCCCGTATGTCCACAGAGGAGTCGTTTGAGGTAGATGTAACCACTCGCGGAGGTGACTTGCTTGTTGGCGAGACAGTTCCACCTCCCATAGATCGAGGAGAGGCTGCACGCTTCTGTGAAAATGCCTGCTGTCTTGGTGGGTAACTCTCCATGCGCTTGTTTGTCTGATATGGCTCAAGCTTGTCTCTGATGTCGCCAGCGCATTCTTTCCCAGTCTTGTCTAGGTCCAATGCTGGTGCATTGTATGCATCTGAAAATGAAGGTGGAAAGTTTGTGCTCTCTGTATTGGTGTTCCTGCTGGTGATGTTACTTAGGCTTCCACTCGGGATTACCGCTCCCTGGCTGAAGCTTGTCGGCAAGCCTGAGCCGAGGCTGTCCGTTGTGGTGCTTCGGCGAAGGTGCCTGCCTGCAAAATCTCAACACGTCGCATCAGCTTACCATGTGAATCGTCCTAGAGCGCTCAGAGCTTGAATGACATGCAGAGAAATGCGATTACATCTATGACTTCTTTAAAATCAATAAATTGATTTTACAGCGCATGCTGAAGGAGAAGTCATCAGTATGCATGGTTGCTCAAAATGCATGGTTGCTTAAAGACCTGGAGAAATACTTGAGAGGAGGCCAACACTCGAGCACTGGCCAGTGCATGCGAGATCACTAAGGATGCGGTTGCTCTCGAGCTGGCCTATGCCTAAAGTACTGGACGGGGCGGGGCGGAAGTTGGCCATGAGGTTGCCGTTGTCATAATTCAGGGAGGAGTCGAGCAAGCTGAAATTTGACCGAGCATCTTGTGCCCCATAAGGGGACGAGTACGAAGACAACTCCATGAGAGAGGTTTCGGGCGTGTACCACTCTTCATCTAGCACTCCCTTGCAGAAACTTGCTGCTCTCATGGTGTCCTGTACTACTTGCTGCGAGATCAACCGGCGTAAGCGTTTTATACGTGCGTGCTGGAATGGGAATCCAAATCATGGATATCTGATTTTGTGAATTCAAAATCCAATGCGATACAAACAGAAACATTCGAAACATAACACATCTAAGCATAAGAGTATGAATGCAACATACTTTGGCGACGTCCATGTTACTGGTGTTCCGAGAGGATTTAGGTGCCTTCCACGACGAGTCTCCTTCAAGTTCGAGACCAGAATTCGAGGATATCCTGTGAAACAAAACATAGAGTTGCTTGTAGCTCAAGATTTATCTTCGCATGTTATCTTCTTGTATCCTTATTTTCAGTTTCGAAGTCTAAAATCTAAACCTTGTGTGTAGTGTAGTTTTCTATAGGCATGCAGTGGTAGCAATGGTACCTGATGTCAGATGAGGCAGCGCCCATCCATAAATCGGGGTTCGAGTGCGACGCCATGGTGCACCACTTCGTGTTGAAAAGCACCAAATATGCAGGATTAGACTTGATGTGCATAAAGGGTACATATTTGTATTTGATAAGTACCTAAACCTCTTCAAAAAATACTCTCATTTCTTAGACCATTACCGTGTTGAATGTTCATAGATACTCATGGATTTGGGGGAGAGCAAATACCTGAACGTTCAAGATAGTGATTTAGCGGCTATGGAGGAATATGGCCCAATTTGAATCGGGATTTGATCAAATCTGCTGTTGACGACCAAAAGCTTATCCTTCCTGCAACACATACTGCACCGACATCAGCAGAAGTTTGAAAAATCTCCACGGTTATGTAGTTGATCTGGTCTTTACAGGATTAAGTAAAGAAGAGAAATCAAGATGGGCGGTGGCACCAGTTCCGTGCATTGTGTACGAGCTCATTTCTATTAAAGAAAAGACACGAAAGTGTGAAATCAATTTAAAAGCTCCGGATCACTGCTGATGATCAGAAAAATACTACCAGACTTCCAGATCCGGGAAACTATTCTCAAACCCCACTAATCCGAGGACGAGAACTGCGGCATTAGAAGAATGGGGTGTTTACATATTGCTGATACAAATCAAAATGTTTACACGCTCGTCCACACAATAGCTAGACTGTAGCGGAAGTCCTAATTTTTCGGCGTCTCCCAAAAAGTCTTTGGTGAGCTACTAGCGCAGAAGTAGATTCATGAAACTATCAAACATGCATAAAGTTCAAAACGAGTGTTCACTAATTGAAGCTTACTCCTGCGCCTTTGCGCTTGACAAGCTTCAGGAAGGCGAACTGACGAACTACAAGGTCTTCCAAGAAAACCGAGTGCTCAGTGAAAGTGAAGCTTAAGAGGAGACTAATCTATCGATCCTTGCAAATTTGTCCGTCGACAAATTCTGTGGAGACAAAGAAGCCAACAGTTGCGTGAAGAATCTGAAGGACAGAGACATTGGAGGTTCGTCGATAGTGCAAGCAAGACTGGCCCCTGAGATTCTCATGTGCCAATGCTGGTGACTAATGGGCACAGGCCCCCACCACCTTCATCTGTTGCAAGTAGTAACGTCAAGGCTGTCTCCTCAAGTGACTGAAATTCTGAACCCTCCCGTACTTCACTTCTCTCAGTTCCTTTGAAACGCCTAACTCTCCGATTGAGAGACTTATTCTCCTGTCTACAAATTACCTGCAAGGTAGACTAGCTTCCCCAAACAACAACTTCGTGTAGAAGGTTGACTAACACCTTCCGATCGGTAAAAATCATCGGACCGAACGACACCGACAGAGCAGCAACGATCTAATACTCTCTCACTAATCGACCTTCAAAGGCGCTGTGCCGACGCAGCAACATCTTGCTTCCGGAGGTTGGAACAGGAACAAAGCTTAATAGCTACGATGTTTGGGGTGTTTTTGCCTACAAAAAGCAGTCGCTATCCTTGACTATGCGATTGAGCTGCAGGTTGCAAAACTGAAGAAACTCTGATTTCAGAAAGAGGCACTTGACGACATCATGAGCAGCTTGGTATACACTTACAATGGCCTCAGTAAACCAAAATTTATCACCTAATCAAGGGGCTCCGCGTACCTTCACGTCACCTTCAGCTCAGATACATATTGTCTTCGTGCAGAAAGTCACAAAAACCACTTAAAATCACGAAAATATTGATACGATCGCCAGCAGTTTCTAGTTGCTTACTAAACTAAACTAGATCGGGGAACCACAATATTCATTACCTAGCGTTGTCATGGCCACAAGAAATTCAAAAGGAAGTTGCACCAAAAAATATCCAGGCATCGTGGAGGGGAGCCAGCGCGTGCCGCAAAGGTTGATTTAGGTGGAACCCTCAACACATTGAGTCAGTGCCAACTAAACCATCACCTACAGCGTCTCGCTGAGACATCAATCCCACTCAAACTGTGGACGACGTACTTCTCGTGGAATTAACATGAGGATTATTCAAGGATAAAAACTATCCGGATTTGCGCTACTTCTAGCAATCTACCCAGGACCCCAACTACAGCATTGAATTTCATGTTCATCGCACAAGTGAAGAAATTACTGAAGATTACTAAAATGATGAGAAAGTTGGCAGAGCTACATGACTCAGCCAGTTTGAGAGTACGCTACGAGTATCAATCCCCATACAAATTTTGTACAAAAGGCTTGATAAGATAGCTCACACATTTCTGTACTTTAACCCCTGAGAAGAATGAGGAATCACCCCTGTTTAAATACTTCTAGGGTAACCCCAAGTTCATGCATGTTCATCCATGGGGCCACGCATGCTTTGGATACAATACGGAGAATATTTCGTTATCTGTCTCGAGAGTAGAGATCTGTGACAACAGTTTGCCATAGATCACCTAGGATCTGCATACAATGCCTGATGCAATGTATCGCAACTCGAAGGAAAAAATGGCACGGCATTAGAATTGCATCACCATATCGCTTAATGCTGATTAATTGATTACTTACCAAAGTAGTTCAGAAGTACGTCCAAGTTATGATCAACCCCACTTATGCTACGAAGTGTAACATACACCTAAGAACACCAGTCTTAAAGCAAAATTGATCTTTGGGGTACCATTATGGAGTGATGAGGCGCCCAGAGGGCTCTCAGGCTACTTGGGCTGTTCAAGGCCCATCAGTGATTCAGCCAACATTCCCATGAACATGGGATGTTTGAGTACCACCACTGCGCGCAGGTAAAAAATTCCGAAGGATATACACTTGAGTCATTAAGGGGATTGGGTTTCATGAGTACCACTGCTTTGTACCCGTCGGGGTGGTACCAATCAAACACTCCTGAGTTGGCACTGCGATTAATTTCAGGGGAGGAATCAGGTTGCTACACGAGGGCTAGGACCCCTGCTGTCGTCCCCTGCGAGTTGGAAAATATGCATCTGACATATTCTTCACTCTTCTTTTTTTTTCTTTTTTGGTTTCTTTTCCTGCTGGGATCTAGACAACAGAAGCGATTTTTCTGAACTAAGGATAAATCAACGCCGATGAGAAAAGAGTTCAAGTTTATCAATCGCAAGTGCACGATGCAACTTTGCTTCCAAATTGGTCGAATTGGGCATGAAGTCCAGGAAGACACCTCACCGCGCTTGACCCATCGACCTGAACGAAACAAAAGAGCAGTAAAACAGTATCGAATTTGGTAGTTCAAGCTACTCATCGGACTAGTTGCGTAGAATTTCGTGAGAGGCTGGAAGCGGGGTTCATTGCTGAGCATGACAGCAACCATCATCTAGGCTAACCGTTACGTTAATTACACCACATGTATGGAAAGACCGACAGTTAATTCTCAAGATGCAAGTCACTTGGACAAGATTCAAACTGAGCAAGAGCTTACCGCTTTAGACCAGCACAATCTGAATCGAGCTCAACCTAGGGGTTGATTCTGTCGCGAAATCGCAGTCGCAGCATTCAGGATCTATTCCTTCAAGTGCATTGAACCGCGGGACACACTTCCTGGTACAGTTTTACCTCTTCCAGTGATTTTTCATTTGACAGACCTGAAGTACACTTAGTTACCAAGAATACTTCCACGAGAGAGGGAGAGAAAGAGAGAGAGTGAGAGCACTTCACCAGACTAGACTTTCACCAGCGACACACTAGACTGATGAGAACCGACACACTAGACTTTCACCAGCGAGCTCTACCACGACCACCAACCCCGATCTTCCACCGACACCAATCTTTCTTTCCTCGACAAATTTCTCACCACACCGCCAACCAAATCAACTTGCCCTCGCTCCTTCTGCCGGAGGTTTTCAATAACAGTTCCAGAACTAGTTTTGTCGACCCAACTGTGAAAAACACTTGACAACTTCAACGAAAGAGAGCACGCCGACGAACCTCGAATTAACAACAGAGAACAAACGGAAAGCTGATCCAGGTGGTGCCAAACGGCGGGGTATTGGTCGAGACTTTTCTCAGGGAAGGATCTAACGCGGAGGATTGGGTTCGAGGTGAAGATCGTAAAGCGGAAATCGATGTGTTGGGTGCGAAAGAGAGAGAGAGCGAGAGGCGGGGCTAATTCTGGTTGCGGGCTGGATGGATCCACCACCGTTACGAGGGCACTCCGTTACGAGGCTTGAGCCCCAGTCGTTGGGGCTTTCCCGCAATGACGGCTCCCAGCTTCAATCTCTTCACCCCTCCACGTAGGTTGGCCTAGCCACCACGTCAGCTATTTACCACGTGGGTCCAGCGTGGCGCCTCGCTTCCTCATCTACGCTATTGCTGTCCTGCATGGCCTCGTTTTCCATTCTGGTTTGTGTAGTTTTCCCTTGTTTCCATTGCAAAGTTGGTGGTAAAATTGATTACATGGGCGACGCGTCCTTGTCAAATACAGAACTTTGAGATGTCTAACATTTTTTACTTTTATGTATGTATAATACGTTGAATTTTTAAATTTTCAACGTTTTAATATTTCACTTCAGGGGGTTTCCTGTTTGTAATTTTGAGTATTGTGCAACTCTTAACTTTTGTAATATTTCTTTCTTTCTAATAGATGATAAAGGATTCATAATTGAACTGGGAATTTATAGAGATCCTGCAGCTAACTTCATTACTACAAAATGATATTTGGTATTAGTTTCCATGAAAAATTTGAGCTTAGAAAATGTTGTTGGTGAATCTCCCTCAAAAAAATCATTTTTCTACATATATCAAGATTTTTCGAATCTACTATATACTCCAAATATTTACGTTTGAATACGAACATGAGTGATTTTTGTACGTCCCAATTTACTACATGAGAAATATTCTCTGTATATGATAATCGTAGACATTTTATTCTAAAATACGGAATTGATGAAGGGTATTTAAGCTTACACATTACAAGAAATTGAATACAATAATTGGAAGGACAATTGAAAAGCAGCTGGCACACAGTGAGAGTGTGTGCTCGACGCCATTCTCCTATTGAAGATGTGGCCCACCACGGAGGCTGTGCTGTGTGTGTATCAATATGTGTATGTATGTGTGGTGGCTGGAACCTTTGGGAACACACCACGGGAGGGCCCCCCGTTGGGCATTGGTAATTTTAGTGGGTATTGAATATGCAGAGGAAGAAAGAGGCCTTTGATGTATGGAGGGGGTAGACCTAGAAGCATCTGGAATCTTCCTCTGCCTCTCTTTTATTCAAGGCTGATATCTAAGAGAGAACAGTATTCATTTTGGTATGTAAATATGATTTCAATTAATAACAAATTCATCAATTGAACATTGTATTGATGTTGTCCTGTCCCATGTCCCTCTAGGGGTTGAATTTTTGATATGAAATTTAAATTTCTTAATATTGATTTGATATTTATTTATTTATTCTGTTGGGGTAGGGGAGACAAAGCTCATGGTGACGGGGGATATGGATGTGTGTATTTAGTATTCTGAGTTCATTGTTTTGGAAGGGCTGATTTTGAAACGTGGATATTAGATGTCTGTTTTTGGTTTGGTGAATATATGAAGGCTTGATAGAACACAGAAAAACCAATCATGTAACTGTGGTACATAAACAGGCTGTGGGCTGATTGATATTTGAATGTTTAATTTTTTTGAATGGTATTTTAAAAGGAATGAATCTACAAGTATTCTTTTTTGTAAATTGATGATATAAAAAGGGCATGGATATTTTGACATTCTCAACAGCAAATCAATGATTTGGTGGGAGTTTGTTGGGGATGTTCCCATCAAGCTCTCCACACCAACACCACATTCCTTCAACACCCTTTGCAACTTCAAACATGAGCTAGTTATTGATTAGACTTGGAGGGAATTACACGCAATAGCTCTTGTAAGCTCTCTCAATCAGAAACACTAGAGTTCAATGTAAATAAACATGCAAAATTCTCAAACAGAATGATACCAAAATATTCATGCCCCATAATTATCAAGTTTATTTTCAATTGTATTTTGTTGAAAAGCTTGATAAAATTTACAATTCAACATTTGTTGTACTCTTATTCTTTCTCATTTTACCTATGATGTTAATACATGGAATTAATGTTAGGACAAAAACCTATGATGCCAACTGAAAGAACATATCCTACATAGATGTTTCTATCTTGGAAAGATAACATTGATAGGGAAAGATTGTTAGAACTTCGAATCCAACAATTGAGAGGGTTACCTGAAGACTTGCAGATTGCAGTAGAGAGGTTAAAAGAAGCAAGGTTAAAAAATAAAGAAAGATTTGACAGGACTCATAGATTAAGGCCTAGGCCTATAGAAGCTGGAGATTGGGTTCTAATTTATGATAGTAGCCTTGAACATCAACATAGCACCGTAAAGAAATTTGCAAAAAAATGGTTTGGACCATATGTGGTAGTCACAGTCCACGATAATGCCACATACACCTTACGGGAGTTAGATGGAGCTATCATTAGAATTCCAGTAGCTGAAAAGAAGATAAAGGCTTTTAAAAGAAGAGATGGGCAATTCAAAATAGAAGACCTTGAAGAATTTCTACCTCAATATTTGGATCAAGAATGTATAGGAGGAGAACCTATGAATGATTTGGAGCACTTTCAAGAAGAAGGAGAGGAGTAAGACGTGGCACATACCGGAGGATGTGCACGTTTGAAGGGGGTGGATGTCGTAGTGTAAATGCTTATAGTATGTAAAAATTAGTTAGAACACATTAAATATTAATAAATCTAAATGTATGTTAGAGTGGATAATAGATTAAATTAAAAAGAGTTGATATGAAAAAACTTCATTTTGTTTTCCTTACTTAGTTTGATTATAGTATATAAAAGTTATAGAACCTTAATGTTAAGTATGAAGCCTTGAGAGGAGATAGGGGCCTAAAGATGAAGATTTAAACTTATAGGAGGTTAATTGGGAGGGATGAAACCAAGGCATGGTTGGATGAAGGTAGAAATAAGGATCTTGATCCCCATTAGTCGAAATCCATGCCCAATGGGCTTTTAGGAGGCTGCCCGCGACCTTGATAAGGATTTCGGCGACTTCAAAGAGGCCATTAGGAAATCGGAGGCAAGGATTGTAAATTTTAGGGGTTTACGTGAAGGCAATTTTGCATTTGGAGTTTACGTGAAGGAGTTATAAGGAGTTAAAGACAGCACATTCAAATCAAAGGCAGTAAGTGAGCGGTTTTGTTCAAAGTAGTGTTAGGAGCCATAACTTGAGTTTTCGAACGAAATTTTGGCTCAAACTTTAGGAGAATGTAAACATTTGTATTAAGAAGATATCTATACAAGTTTCGTGGCATTTGGACTTATGGTTTGTGAGATATAAAGAAAATTGCGCGCGGGTATATAAAGATTAGGGTTTGAAGCGACTGTTAGGGTTTTGAAAATATCTCAAAATCCGCCACGAATTTGCGGTTGAAATTTTTTTTACAAATTAATAACAACATATCAATACTTCGTGTAAATTTTGATCTTGTTTGGACGGTTGGATCAAGAGTTATGAGGTGTTGAGGTTCGGGAGAATTTCCACACAAGGATATACAAGGTTTTAGAGTACTTCTACCATATTTTGGGTGTTGTTGGTTATTTAAGACTTAAGTATTTGGTGTAATTGTCCCAAAAGGAGTGTTTACTATATATTCGAGCTAAATCTTGATTCATACCAATTTAGTTGTTAGAATTCAACATCGAGAATTCCGGAGTGAGATCATGTGGTAGAGTTTTTGATTGCATTGAGTTTTACTTTGAAAGTAGCAAATTGTGGTGGGTGCATGTTGGTTTTAGTATTTAGTGTCTCTTGCGCTTATGGACTAGTTAACTTGTGTATTTTTACATTAGTCTTGCAAATAATTTGAACATGTTTGGAGTGCTTTCAATGGAGGCCCTAGATTACAAGAGAAGGTATTCTCAAGGTGCATGTTCAGGTTCTAGGAGGTCCTCACTCCACCTGATTTCCAACACCATATTATGGATCCTTCATTCTTGAATCCAGTAAGAAGTGGAATTTGATCGTTGATTGCCTATTACATTGGGTGT